ATCTGGTGGACGTCTTCCAGTTGCTATCTCTATTGGTGAATATCCACTGATAGTCAACTGACAATTTCTTGCCCAAACTACCTTCTTGACCACTTCTCTGACCGTAACACCACGAAAACGTGGGTCATCCAGATCTACCTTCATAACATGCCACATACGTTTGAACAAACGTACAGCTGTCTCTGCTCGGTTCGGCCAAGGAGTTCTTGGCCCACAAGGACATTGTTGTATACCATGGAACCTGTAGTATTCAACAAAAGCATCTGTGAAAAAGGCTTCGTCTCCTACGATGGCCTTTGGAACACAGTTGTTCTCATCAGACCATTGCCTCAATGCTTGGATGGTGGTTTGATCTATGAGGTCTTTCTGTGCCGTAGCCCAGAGAAGATTTGTGGCACCATCAAGAACAAGTAGAATGATATACTTGTTCTTGTGAAGTTCAACCTCACAGTGATCAGCAAAAACAACATCACCAAAACATGAAGCTCTAATACCGGAGACTCTGGCTCGTGGCGGAGGTGCCACTGAAGTGTTACAAACACGGCAGTTCCTGACAACTGATTCATACTTCTCTAAAACAGAGTCAGGAAGCTTCAACATAGAAACACGTCTACGAAACTGAGTAGGACTCATATGGTAGTGCTTCACATGAAGCTTATAAAGCTCTACCTTGTCCTCCAGTCTCTGTAACATCTTCCTATATGCCGGTATCATTGCAACAACTTCACTACCAGGTAATGGGATTGAAATCCGCCTAGGCTCAAGAGCGCCATCACCTGGTTCAAGTGGTTCATGTTTATCACTTGATGGTCCTTTTGATGCTTTAGGAATTTCTACAAGTTCACCTTCTGGCCTCTCAGGTGGTTCTGAGGGAGCATACTCCTCAAGATCATCACCCTTTAAATCATTCTGAGGCTCAGATGGTTTCGACTTGTGTCCCTTCCAAAATGGATCAAAACCCTTGGAAGTATACCGAAACTTTGGCGGCGCGGGCTTTTCCGCGGCACTGGATGGTGCACCTTCCTTCTCTGATGAGAAGCCTGTGCACCTTCCTTCTCTGATGAGAAGCCTGGTTCCCTGTCCTTTGCAATGGGAACCTTCTCTGAGGAGGAGCGCACCACTGCATCGGGATCACCAATGCCACGGTGCTCAACGCCAGCCTTCCTGATCTTTAGATCTGGAATTTTGGCATCTGGCTTAAATTTAAAAATTGTTCTACCACGCCATTCATAGCCAAGTTGTAGGTCCTTCCATTTTGCCTTGCGCCAATCATCTGTCTTCTTGATTTCTTCTCCTCCTGCTTTCTTCTTGATGATTGTCAGTCGCAAGTCTTCCAGCAAGTCAGTGTCTACAGGACAGGACTTAGTTGCTGGGAAAAGAATTTTCCTGTAATCCTTGTGGTGACGTATCAGTTCTCTCTTGTGAACATCTACTTCCCAGAAATCAACCACAGGATATGCATGCTCAGCTTCACCTTCATCACTATTGTGTTCAACAGAAATATGGCCATATTCATAGTGAGTGAGGTGAGAGTAAAAACTCTTCTCACGCTGAGTCTGCCAACGCACGTCAGACAGATACCATGCAATATCTTGGAAGTCCAACACAAGATGAGTACTGGCTGCAACCTTCAACTCCAAAAATTTGATACCAAGAGGCACCGATGTCAGATAAGCATGTTGAGGTGTCAGCCTGAGTTCAAAGCCTAAGTCCTCATCTGTGGCAAGCTCATAAGCAAAGGGACTTCTCCTTCTTCCACTATGTCGAACTCTGTATGGTGGATCGTCCATGCGCGATCATACATGTAAATCACCAGTTTCTGAGAGCAAGTAGCCTTCTGGGAATTGGCAAAGTAAAACTTGCTCTTGGTAGACTCAAAAGAGTACCATAATCCACAATCTGGGTGATTGTCGACATAGTTGCAAAAATGGTCGACTGCTCGCCTTGATCCCATAGCTCTAGTGCATCCAATGTCCAGGATTGCAATAGTTGGCGGGAAGCGATTCTCAGTCAAAAATGAAATAGCCTGCATCTCCTTCACTTCTTCCTCAGCGCTCATAAGCGCAAAGCCATCAGCGCTCATAAGCGCAAAGCCATCAGGAGCCTTTGTGAGCATCTCCTTTGACAAAGAGTACCTCACAGGGGCACTCATGTCATCGAAGATCGTCTCACCATTGTTGACCACGCAGTCAGCTTCATCTTGGCATGAGGTCATCATGCCTGACAGCAAGTCCACCTCACTGTCATGGACTTCAGCTGCTGCTGTCACACAATGTGCATAGAAACCTTGTTGACCTCCTGATGCTTGTGAAGTTCTTGAAGGTGCAGGTAAAGAACGTGGCTGTTGTTGATTTGCATAGTTTGCATCTTGTTTGCCATCTCCTTTATCCTTTCCTTTTCCTTTCTTGCCTTTTCTCTTGCCTTTTCCTTTTCCTTTGTGGGAAAACCATGCTTCTTCAAGCTGTTGCCAAAAGTCATTGGCATCATCATATTCTCCTTGAAGATAGTCATTCATATCCTCGGCAAGAATGGCATCATATGCTCCTTGGTTTGACTCCCAAGTGTCCTCATAAGGATTCTCTTCAAGGTATTCATCTGGAAATGTTGTCTGTTGCTCATCAGCAAAATGGCCTTTACCTCGTCTCTTTCCTTTTCCTTTTCCACGAGGTCTGAAGAATCTGCGGCCTGATCTTCCTTTTCCTTTTCCTTTCCTTCTACCTTTTCCTTTGCCTTTTCTGGCTCTTCTTCCTTGGAATCTCCTTTGGAACCATGAGAAGTTTTGATCATCATATACCCAAAAGACATCGTCCAGGGCATCTAAAAATCCTTCTGTTCCATCTTCTTCATCTTCGGCCCAATAGCCAAATGTACCATCGAGTTCTCCTTCGTCTAGTACGAGAAATGATCTTCTACCTCCAGCACCTGTCGGCTGCATCAATGGATTGTCTACTGAAGTCTTTGTCGTGCAGAACATCTCGATGAAAACTGTCCTCAGCTCTGTTGTAGTGTATTGCTGCAGGTACCTGCCACGATGAGTCATCAACGAAGTCAAAGTGTTTCGCTGGTCCTGAGACAAATCTGCAAGGGACAGCATGAGTAGGGCAATGAGATTCTCTCCTAAAGGAAAATCATTCTGATGAAGAATTCTCATATTGCCATTGACATTCTGCATGATTTCCTGAATCCTTTCTGCCGTTGGTGCTACTCCAGTCAACGCTGCATCTGCCTGCATCTGAGCAAGGACTTGGGGATGTGCTTGAGTGACTGGTTCTAACATGTCCATCCAACTGCTCATAAGCCTTTGGAGTAAAATCTGGAATCTTGTCATCCATTTCATCATGTCAGCTGATCCTCGATTGAATCGCACGAATTGCATAAACCTGTATAGGAATACATTGGTTGATCCTTTCACGAAATATGGTCGTAGTACTCGTTTGAAGTAATCTACTCCTGCTCCTGGTGGCTCATTAGCCTTCAATGAATCTCTGTCTAATACACGTTTGTATACTGCTGCTTCTCCTTCTAATCTGTTTCTCAAAGCTGGTCCTCTCTTCTCATCTTCCAGCTCGGTGATATCACACCAATCGTCTATGGCATCCTCATAGGAAAACCATGAAGTCTTTCCATCATAAGATGGGGGCACCTTTGTAGTGACCTGTGTTGTCATTGCTATTGCTGCTGGTTCTCTTCTCACATGCCTATTCACGTAGGCTGCTGGCTCATAAGCCACATCCGCATCAGGCTCTTCCCAGTCGTCAATCCAATCCATGGCCGTTTGCCCACAAGCAATTCTATGCCTAGGAAAGGAGCTCACCTGGGTCTTCCAGGATCACTGCTCCGCTACCACTGAAAGAGTGACTAGGGCGTACACGGTAGAGGTGCAGACCGCTAGTGTCTTTTATGCGCAGAGTCTTATCCTCTTGCTCTTTAGGTCCATTGACCCTCTCTTGAGCCTTGAAGCAGTCAAGCATGGACACACTATATCAGCTGTTGGAGTGGAACCCTGTACAGGTAGGCTCTACTTTTCAGGGGGCCCCCCCCCCCTTTCAACTCCACCCTAGCGCGCCTCGGGGTCAACCGTTCGAAAACACTGTAAATATCAGTGTTTTCAGCTCTTTCAGTCCTCAGCAGTGACAAAAAATCATGGAATTTACAGCGTTTTTTGTGGCTGTCCGGCAAAAAACACCGCAAAAACCGATGGTTTTTGATGCGTCTCGGTTAGAAAATTGACCGAAAAAAGACCAAAAACCAGGAAAGATTTTGTCAGAAAGGGTTTTTGAGGCTTTTGGAGGCTTCAAAATTGCACAAAACTATGGTATTTACAGGGTTTTGTGCACCTTCCCGGCAGAAAACGCCGGTATTTACACGGTTTTCTGCGCTTTTCCAGCGCTCAACCGTGGTGCGCCTTTGGATCGACGGCTACAAAATACCGTAAATACAAGTGTTTTCAGCTCCTCCTGTCTTCAAGAGTGGCGTTAGACCTTGCCGCGGCTGTGGATCAACGGCAACGAAACCTCGTAAATACGAGTGTTTTTGAGCACGTCCTGTTTGCAAGCATTGTGACTCCTTTTGAAGGCACGTCAACCTGTATTGAAACCGCTAGACCGCTACAGCTTCTGGAGGTTTTGTCAAGCGTTTGTGCATTAGTTTTTCTTTCATCGCGCTCACTCACTTCTCTTCAAACAAGTGGGGGGCCTCTCACCTCCTCCCGGATTACGCCTGATTCCCTGCTACCTTTCGTTCACCCCCCTCCTCTCTCAAGTTGCCGTGGGTCAAAAACGGGACAATGTGCTTGACCACTGAACATGAACAGAATAGACTTCCTGGGAGGTCAATCTACCAGGTTTTGGGGCTCCAGGTTTTCGCTCGCAGCCATGTAGAATCTTATCATAGTCCACAGACCAAAGTGAGTGGGTGGAGTGGTGCCAACGAGTCAAAGCCCAACGAGTGCTGACACCTGCGGGAGATGATGTGGACCGGTCGCGTCTCACGCGCTTGAGGACTTCTTGAAGTCGATCCCCAACGAGCTGACCAAGCTTGCGGGTGCAGTGAATGAGGCGATGCAACTTACAGACTTGGCGGCTTGGCTATGACTTGACAGGCTTGAGATACCATCTGCAGACTGGAATTGTTTGACATACATTTGCCAGCAGGTTTGTTGGGACCATGTGGAATTTTGCCCTTCAGTCTTGCTTTTTGGGGTGAAACTGCTCAGGTTGAGGACCTCCGCTACGAGCTCCCGGCCGAAACCCTGGAAGCTCGTTGGGAGATGTCGAGTGCTTAGATGTCGAAAGAACTGAACAGCAAACTCGACTCCAGATTTGGTGATCCACACCTAGTTCTCCAGGTTTGGCTCATCTGGTCTTGTCAAGTCCAGGGCAGCCAAATGCATGGAGTGCGCAGAGATACAAACTGATGTTGACAAATCATACAAATCAATCGCTTCCTTCTCTGCAAGGTACCTGAACACTCAACACGATTCCTTCCTGCAGTCTCAAGAGTCAGAACAGAAGGCGTTTTCTTTTTCTGTTTGATTGCCGAAGAGAACGCTCTCCTTTCCTTATATTTTTTTCTGGGAACGCTTTTCTTCTTGGAACCGTTCACCCCCGGCACGATCTGGCGAACGATGTGGCCTTCACCAGGAGTTTGATCAAAGACTTGTGAGACTGGAGGAGGCCCGGCGGTTCTGGCCTGCTCTGGGGAGCTCATTGCATCATGGCGTGTCGTGGGTGGATTTTTCTCTCTGAGGTGATCGAAGGTTTCTCCCAGTACAAGGATCTTGGCCAAGTCAGAGAAGTTGCTGAGAAGGCTGACTTGGCAGCTTTACAAAGTGCCGGAAGGCCGAAAACCTTTGGTGCTAGGTGCGGGCAACATCTGAAGAGATCAAGCAGTGCCAGGACTTGGTTCGGCTCTACAACTCTCGAGAGGCCACTAACGGGGTCATCTGGCCGGGAGGCAGACGAACACTCCATGTGTCTTTTTGCAGGTGCTGTTTGATCGGGCCCGCTGCCCAGTCAACACTTGTTTGACAAATACTTGAAACATATGTGCAAAAGCTATGCCTAAGGACCAGACGGACTACTCGAACCTTCAGACCATGATCAAAACCTTTGAGCCCTACAACAACCTTTGGAAGACTGCTGGAGATTGGGTGAGCAACAAAGAGGCCACACGGCCACACTGACAAGCTGCTAATTCCTGCCAAGTCAGACAAACTGCAGCTTGCTTCGGAAATTCGTTCTTGTGATGCAGAGTCATGGTTTGGCTTACTTCATTCTACATGGACTGTGAAGCTCTGGGTTGTGGGATGTTACTGTTCTAGCTCATGGCGTTTCAGGCCCGGCTCGGGGGCCCCTTCGATGAAATCGATCCTCGATATTGTGAGAATGAGGCGTGTAGTTGGATCGGTCGGAGGAAGAGGATCTGGGTCTCACTGAGTCCCTGTGACACTTGCCATTTTGGGAAGCCCACAAAGTAACTAAGACTTAGTAGTACACTGCTTTGGTGCTTTGATGGACTTAATTTCTCCAGGATGGTGTCATTTCTTAAGCAGACAAAACATGACAAAGACCGTTTCTGCTTGTTTCATATTTTTAAAGCTGGTTTGCTTCAGCAGCTGCATGAAGGTGACAAACGGCATCCGGCTTCTTTTCAAGACCATCCGCACTCTCAAAGAGAACGAAGAGACAAAGGCCAGTGCTCCAGTGCTGCCAAACTATCAATCAGTGGTACCGAGTGGTACCTGCTTTGGCTGGCCTGCTGTGCAGTCCATCTGCGGCATTGCAGAGCAAATCAAGACCGAGTTGGAAGAGTTGGGTCCCAAGGATTGGAGAATGTTTTCCGCATTGTTTGGTGTTTGCATAATGTGAGGCCAAGAACACAGATACCGCTGATTACAGAGAGTTTGTATGTATGTCAGTGATGTGAGTGGCATGAATGCTTAGGCTTAAGCGCACCCCTCCTCTGAACATACCTGAAACCATCTCTGCTCCAATGTCACTTCTTCCGTTTAGAGGCCTTTGCAGAACACACTGTCTTGGGACCCCTATGGCAGAAGCCTGAGCGCTGAGGTTCAAGCCCAATCTTCCCCTGGTGACTGGCCTTCGCAATGAGGGAATGCGCCAGCGTCACTGGGTCAGCCCCTCAGTCCTTGTGCGGGGTCCAGTTTGAGGTCCATAGTGGGACTCTTATGAGTCGACATGCACCTGGAAAAAAAAGTCAGAGTGGACAGTTTCGACCTGACAGGAACAGATTTCCGAGAAGTCTGGAGCCAAGACGGCAGAGTGCCTGCTTGTTCGGATATACCACCGAGTGACTCAATGTTTGTAGGAACTATTTCGTTTGTGTTGCACCTGCAACTACACTCTTGCCGGAGTTCAGAGCACCAGACCTTTGCACAAGGTCAGGCGTGCAGGTTGGGCCTGGCATGGATGGAGGCTTTACTTTGCAGAGGACCGTGATCCCAAAATAGACGACGGATGGCCCGAGCGTGTTTAGGTGTCAAGTTACTCTGGTGTCAGGTATGCGTGCATGACCATGAAACAGTGCAAGAAAAAGAGTGATGAGATGGTGAGAGAGAGTGAAAGAGAGGGTGAGAAACGCATGAGATGAAAGAGCAGAATGTGTGTCCAGGTCCTGCCCCGAAAGATGTTTTCCAGGCCATGTTCATGTAGATATATGTGCGTTGTTGCAGTAAAATGTGTGGATTCAGGTTTTGCCTGCGGCATGTGTGCATGTGAAGATTTGAGGTGAGATGTTGTGAACGAACGCTGCAGCCCTCGCAGCCGCATGGTTTTTGCCCCGGCAGCGAAAGCACACAGGAACACACGGCAGCAGCTGAAACAGTAACAAGGACAAAGCTGGAGGCAATGTTTGCGCGTGTGTTATCGGACTAGCGCACACGCCACGTCTTGTTTTGAGTGTTGCGGAGGTGCAAGCTGTTGCACACTGCTCACTCCTGTTCGATCCAAAACGTAAATGCGATGCTGCCAAGGACGCAAGGATTGTTTTTTGAAGCAGTATCTTGATTGCGTCTGCACTGTATGATTGTATGCCACAATGAGCCAAGCGCAAAAAATAGCAGCACTACGAAAATATGCATTGGACTCTTTGGGCCGCGGAAATTGAGTGCTGCCAGAGTTGCCTGCGCATGCAACCCCAGTGAGAAAGGCATGCGTCTCGCCTTTCACAGTGTTCCGCGTCATTGGCGGCCCGCGTCATGCACTGTGGCGGCTTCACGGTGATGTTGTCCAAGTGGCGCTGCAAATGAGTGACCTGGTGTTGTGGAGGGATGTCTTCAGTCGCCCTGGCGTAGACTTTTTTGCTGCGAGAAATTGCAACGACCACAGTCACTGGCCAAGCTGTTCCCTGATCTCTGGCAAGTGACAAGCTGCTTGCATACTTCCCAGCAGCAATGATGCGATTTCAGCGGGGGCGCATTTCAGAGCTGCGTTCAAGTTACCTTGTCATCGCGTCTTGTACATCTACTTCCCTAGAGAAGTCATGTTCTCACTCAAGACCCCAAAGGAAGGCAACAAAGCGAAACCCAAACATAGCAGAGGATCATCCACATGCTACACAACAAAGGAGAGGTCATTCTAATCTCGCACAGCTGCCTGTTCTATTGTGCAGGAGAACAAGGATATTCAATGCTGTTTGATCCCTTGCTTGCTTGCCCCCTGCTTGCGCTTCGTGGAGTCGCTTGTGTGTGATTTTCAGTATGTGAAAATGCAATTATCTCAGGGGGACACCCCAGTTCCTTGTAATTTCTGGGGGAGTTGGGCACGTTGCAACAATGTAAGTTATAATTTGTGAGGTCAAACTTTCTCACATAACCCAGGTATTCCCTGCAAAATCTGAGGGTTTGGACGTGTGAACCAATAATTGTAGTCTGCAAATCTCACCTTTTGCCTGCATCCTGAGACAGCAAGACGAAATCGCCTCAAAGTTATAAGTTATCTTTGTTGAGGCCTCAAAGTTTATGTAATTACCTTTTGTGAAGCCCACCGCGTAGGAAAATGCAACTTAGAATTTTCGACGTCCCCCCTCAGGAAACTGTAGTGCTGAAAGAAAGAAAGGAAGAAGGGAAGAAGAAAAGAAGGAAAGAAGGAAACAAATAAGGAAAGGAAAGGCAAAGAAAACAAGAAAAGAAAAAAGAAACTAAAAGAACAGAAAATAGAAATAGATAAAGAAAGAACGAAAGAATGAAAGAACAACATAAATAACAAAAGAAAAAACGAAAGAAAGCAAGAAAGAACAAACAAGAAAAAGAGAAAGAGATAAACAAAAAGAAACAAAAAAAAAGAAAGAAAGACAGACAGACAGAAAGAAAGAAAGAACACATAAATACAACATAAGGAAATACAGAAGAAAAGAAAGAAAGAAATAACTATAAAAGAAATAAAGTAAACAACTTAAACAAAAATATAGAGGGCAAGCAAGGAAGGAAGAAGAGAAATAAGGAAAGAACGAAAGAACGAAAGGAAGGAAGGAAAAAAACGAAAGAAACACATAAGGACAACAGAAGGCAAGCAAGCAGCAAGCAAGCAAGCAAACAAGGAAGAAAGGAAGGAAGATAGGAAGGACATAACGAAAGGAGGGAATAAAGAAAGAAGAAAGAGACAAACCAACAAGAACAACACAAAGACACAAATAAACAAAACAAGAGAAATAACATATATAACGAAAAAACACACGAACACAATTATCAAAAATCACATGCAAAAACGGAAACAACAAATCATTCAGAAAAACAACATACAAAAAATGAGAAAAACGAAAAACATACAGAACACATACAAGCAGAAAAAAACACAGACACAGAACACAAAACCACCATTAAAAAACAATTCAAAAGAAAAAGATTGGAAGGAAGGAAGGAAACAAGGAACACACAAAAACATATTAGCCAAGAGTCTGAGAGAGAAAAGAAAGATAATGAGAGAGATATAGGGAGAGAACGTGAGAGAGAGAGAGAGAGAGAGTATGAGAGAGATATGTGTAGGTTTAGATGTGAAGATGTGCATGGTTGGATACGTGCACATGTGAAGATGTGCATGGCTGGATATGTGCGGATGTAATTATGTGCTGGTGTAAATTGTATTGTAGTGATATGCAATGCATCCGTATTTAATATGAACCCTTCTCTCAGGCGCTCTGAATTTGGACTGGAATGGTTGACCAGTTGAGAACAAGTTGGAATCGTTTTGGAGTAGGCATTCATAGGATTGCGGAAATATGTTTCCCTTGTTGTTTTTAGTTTTTGAGACTTTGCTGGGCCAGGATGTTGGACGCCGGGCTATTGAACTTCGCCAACGAGGTCGCAGAAGTCGGTGATCGAGCGGGCAAGGAGTATGGCCTTGAGAAGACCTTGAACAAGATGAAGGCTGCTGATGGGCAAGTGTGAAAGTGTTTGGTCATGAGACCCAAACATGGATCAAGACCCAAACCCAGATGATGTATCATCACTTGTTTGTTGGTTTCTTTTGCAGGCAGACTGGGAACCGTTGAACTTTGATCTCTCGGAGAAGTACAGGCAGGGTCCAGGGTCCGGGGCCGGCGACCGAACTGGCAAGAGACCTCGGGTGCACTTGCATGAAGAGACCTCGGGCGGTTCTTTCGCAGCTGGCTTGAAGGAAAACTGGCACCTATGTTTTGAAAGGAGATGGAGAGGCCGGAGTAACACAGAATATCCCTGTGTACGATTTTTTTTCGACTGATTGGACCCATGAAAATGAATGCTGTGCAGGCGATGGTCCTGCTGGATGAGCACATTGTCACCACACAGGCCCATGGCAGTGAGTCTCTTGGTGTCATATGCACGTCTTGCCGTTTTTGCCATGCTTTTAGAGTGGATTTTGCGGCAAGGCCATGATGTTCTCCACCTTCAAAGGACCTTTCGAGGAAGACATCGATGAGTGCGCCGCAGAAAGCTGGAAGCACACTCCTTGAGCTTCTCTGGGTCCTTTTGGGTTTGTCAGGTGGAATACAAGGCTCATGCGCGTGTCAGAGACCTTGGAAGAATGGAGATTCTGGCGAAGTTGTGGGGAACTTCAGAACCCACCTGTTGTGTCACGACACATCTTCAAGCTTCTTGTCGCCAGGCTCAAGTGCCAGAAAGCTTGGATGTATCTTCAGCCAATTTTCGATTCGGATGAGCCTCGCCGGACGAGTCATTATTTTTGGGGCAAGAGGGGAGCTTTTAGCAGAGCTTTTAATTGTGTTGCAATGCCAACCTGAGTTGCCACTGAGGACATCATGCGACAGCTCCCGACAGAAGGCGGCTATTTTGAACACCAGTTGTAAATCCTTGTATTTCTGTACTCGTAACAGGGACGCTATTAGGTGGAGGCCATCGCTACTAGTAGCAAGAAGCAGGCAATAAAACTTTCATCAGAACAAGACAATAGTGCTGACGCAATGCTGAGGGAAGCGCTTCAAACACGTCGATGCGACATGGCGCCAGGTGCCATTTCTCTTGTTTCAAACAGTAGGACCCAAGGTAAGCTTACAAACCTGTTCAGCAGCATTGTAGCACATGGACCGGTACCTTGCTGTTTCGCAGCAGCTTTGTTCATTCGTGGAATTCAATATTGGAGCAGTCGAGACTCATGACCAACTAGAGTGTAGTGGCAGGAGATGATCAACACCAGGGAGAACCCCAAGATCATCGACATTTGCGCGACTGAAGGGCTGCTGGAAAAGTGGCGAGAATGCAATGTGCCCCAGTCACGATTGAAGCGTTCCGTTCACAGACATGAGAAGTGGTGATCTGGGCCGGGTCGTAACATTCTTCCTAGCTGCAATCACTTTCTGAACTGGGAAATGGCTTCTAGATATGGATTGAGCATATTTAATTTGCCGTGGCAGATCACACTGGATATGGTGCAGAAGGGCTTGGAGGAAGCTGCTTCCAAATCTGACAAGCTCTGAATTTATGAAGAAGTCTGCTAGTTGCCTCATGCTTTGAGTATGAACAAAGACTTGAGTCTTTGTGCCTTTTTGTGATCCCAGGACTATCTTGAGACAAAGAGGCCTGAGTGCTTGCGAGGTTTGTGTACACGACTATGATCTCAGAAAGTACTGTACCTTCTTGTCGACAGCCTCAATCAGCCTCCTGGGTTTGCTTCGACCAGGAATGGCTTTGCCCGTTTCTACTTCCTTTCGAATGATGAGCTCCTGGAGATCCTTTCGCAGACCAAGGACTTCCACGGTGCACAGAGGAAAATGTGTCCAAGGTCGCAAAAGACTGCCATTGAGTGTGAGCCTGTTTAGGCATTAGTCATGGACCAGTGATTGAAACTGGCATGGATGAGGCCTTTTCATAAACTGTTCTAGAACTTTTTTTGTCAAAGGACCCGACTCGAGTGCAACCATTCTTGTCCAAAGTCTTTGAAGCCATGTCCAAAGTCATTAGCTCAGCTGCGCTATGAACATTCTGGCACATTCTGGCATTTTGGAATCCCTTGCTGCTTCAGTGCTGCGCATGGAACAAAAGACTAGAAGGCTTGTGCGACCAGGTCGTTTTGTTGGTTGGCCGTTGACTGTGAGGTGAACTTCACGCCCGACAATGAGGTCGTATCCATGGCTGGATTCATAGAGAGTTGGATTCGTTGGATTTAAGTGAGATGGTTGCTACTAGTAGAAATGCCCTTTGTTCCTAGTAGCGTTTCTTATTCCCGAATGCGTAGCGAAGGGTTCTCGTTTAACTCTTGGGGGTCTGGGGGTAGAGCCTTGTTCGCGATCCGTTGTTTCTACGTCCGCAACCGTCCGCAACCGTCCGCAACCGTCCGCAACCGTTCGCGGTAGAGCGCTAAGGCGCTGCCATTGGGGGAAGCTTTTGCAAGTGACTATTCATGGATGTGTCACATGTCAGTTTGCGCCGCTATTCCATTGTGATTTGCATGAAAAAGACATGTCGCGCAAGCAACGTGATGCGTTTCGGCTGCACAGGCGCAGCGTTTGGTGAGATCTGCAGATTGCTGCGCAGTTCCATTGGGATTAGCGTTTGGAGAGTCGTGTTTTGGGGTGTTGGATGTGGCCGTGCCATTGGAATTTGCGTTTCAGGGTGTGGCATCGAAGCTCTGTTTTCGTGACAAGTCTCAGCTGAAATGCCGATTTTGGTGGATGGGAGTGTGCTCAGAACGGGTCGAAATCATTCCAAACGTGTGGTGTGGTGCAAATTTTGTTGAAGCTCACATGAGAAGACATTGTTACTTTTCGTGGCAGGCGCAGGACTTTGTGCGGGTTTTGAGGTGTAGAAGTGGGATTTTCGTGGCAGGCGCAGGGAATCGTGAGGTTGCGATGTGTGACGGAGGTGACATTTCGTGGCAGGCGCAGTACTTTGTGCGCGTTAGACGTGTGGACGCGGAAAGATTCGTGGCAGGCGCAGGGAATCGTGAGGTTGTGAGTTGTGGTAGAGGTGAATGTCGCTGTCACATTGGGATTGGCGTGTGAGCGGGTGTCGCTTGGAGGGGCTGGAATCGCGAAACTGCTGGGCAGGGCTGCGTGATGTGTGTGCTCCGATGGGTGTTTCCGCTGGACTTTTGGAGGAAGTCTCGTGCGAAACGTTCGTTTTGCAGACTTTGACATGTGAGTTTTTGAGGAAGTCTCGTACGAAACGCTCGTTTTGGGGACTTGACATGTGACTTTTGGAGGAAGTCTCGTACGAAACGCTCGTTTTGGAGACTTGACGTGTGAATTTTGGAGGAAGTCTCGAACGAAACGCTCGTTTTTGAGACTTGACGCGTGACTTTTGGAGGAAGTCTCGTACGAAACGCTCGTCTTGCAGCCTCGCAGCGTGACTTTTGGAGGAAGTCTCGTACGAAGAGTGTGCCCTACAGGAGTGTCCCACAAGAGTGTCCTACAAGAGTGTCCCACAGGAGTGTCCTACAAGAGTATCCCACAAGAGTTTCCTACAAGAGTGTCCCACAAGAGTGTCCCACAAGAGTGTCCTACAGGAGTATCCCACAAGAGTGTCCTACAAGAGTGTCCCACAAGAGTTTGCTACTAGAGTGTCCCACAAGAGTGTCCTACAAGAGTGTCATTTGGACATACGTAGCTTTTTGAACGTGTTTGCATTCGGGTTCGTGGGCTCCATCTTGTTATTTTTTTGTTTCGGCTCACTAAGATCTCACCAGAAGGCGAGACCGTTGAGATGGTCGCCCCGGTTGTGACCCACCAAAAGGCCCGCAAGCGGGACGGTCCCACGGTCCTACGCTTCACTGGGTTCTTTCCAGCGTTTTCAGCCAAGGCGAATTCTTTGGTTTCCCGGTGGATTCTGCTCCGGTCAGGCCGTTGAAGTCTGGATGGGTGACCTGCAAGATGGAATGTGCATGGCAATCCGTCAGATGCTTGGGTGTTGTCCAGCAGTCCTTTTCACCAAATACTTAAAACTCAGCTTCGAGAGCCAGAAACGATCAATGTTGCCATGTTCTGCCCGAGGCAATGCTTTAGAAGTTGGGATCAGCCTTTGCCCAAGCACAATTCGCTTTGTATCGCTGTGCCCTTTGAATGCGACTGGGCAAGACCAGACGTAGCTTCAACCGACTCCGAGAATGAGGCACCTATCCAACAATGGACCGTACCGACTGGGTGCTGGCCAATGCTGCACAAATTGTCCTGAATGGATCGCAAGCCAGGATCCAAGGCAGCAGTGCTCCAGGCCAGAATTTCGGCCGGAATAGTGCTCCAGGCAAATTTCGTCTTAGACCAAATAGATTAAGACGTGATTCATACAATGATTGGGTCGCTCCTTCTCTCTTCAAGAGTATTCTCAGACATGATAGTCTTTGTGATAGAATAGACAAAATTCGCAGACATTCTCTGTTCAAAGAGTCAGAGGGGTTCCGATCCTACAAGCGCTCTGTTTGGTGGGGGACAAGATTGATGGCAGTGGAACATGTGGAACATCATGTATATGTAATTATATGTAGAGATATGGTAACTCTTAGACGACAACACATTTTTTGCTGATTCATCCACTATCTAGTGGTCAGGCTAGTTTGGAACTCAGTTTCAATGTATAACCTATGTACTATGTACCTATGCTTTTCGCGCACCTTGAGGTGTTTTGAATAGCAAAGTTGGTGAAATGGGACGACCTGTTGTCGCAGACTATGAGACTCAGGTGTTTTGGACATCAGAAGTGGAAGAAGCCTTCGATGGAAACGTGGCTAGTTCCTCAGCGCTCCTGGAATTGGTTGATGCACGATCCTGACATCCATTTGTCATGGTCCGGTCTTGTCATGTTCGCTCCAGCTTCTGGCGCAGTTGGAAGACTATGCGAAGAAGCTTTCACAGCAGATCCTGGATTTGATTATGCTCCTCCGCAAGGGCGTGCCAGCCTAAAGATGCACAGAGCACTATATCACTGCATTGTGGGTGAGAAGTGCTCAAGAGACGGTTCATTCACATACCATCATGTCATGTTTATTGGAACTTAGTTTTGCCTGAATCCAAGTCGTAGCAATCACAAGAATGTAGTCGTCCGCAGCAGTCACGTGAGCGATGGCTATAGCTACTGTTGTCTACAGTGACAAGATGGACATGAGGAATCTTACCAAACCCATCCAAACCTATTGGTGAATGATTGTTACTACGCCCTTTCTTATTTTTGCACAACTGTCAGGATCCGCATTAGCATTGCCCAACCATTTGCTGCTGACATTTTGGTGTAAATCTGACTATTTCCCACAGGTGAACAAGCTGCAGACAAAGACCATGAACGCACTGATCGTCATTGATGTCCATGCCAAGGACAAGTTGACAAAGTCTCGTCATGTCTCCCAACCGGATAGCTGACTGCAGTTAATGAAGAGGCTTTCTGACACAACAAGTGCCACAATCAACACATGGCAAAACTGCACAACAGTAACAGTTGGACGACAGCGCTACACGCCTTAGAACCGAGAAGACCGGGACTGCTTCCAGGCTTCACCCAGTTTGGACCGGCATGTGTGTTTGCCGTGCGTATCCATCCCCGCGCCTGAGTTGGCCCTGAATGAAGAAGCATGATGAAGCTTAAAGTAGTTGGTCAACAAGCTTTTGCTAAGCTTCTGGAGCGGCTTCTTTGGCTGTTGGACATTGATGAACAATCACCGACAAGGGTCTCGTTGTGAGGATGTTATTTGGGGCTTCGTTGAGCAGCAGGTGAAGGACAAGGCCTTGATGCAGCAGGTGTTGTCAGTTAGCGAAAGTCGCAAGGTTCGGTCTTTGTAAGAAGAGACGTACCACTTCCAAATGCATCGAGTTGTTTGTGGTGTCCTAGAGGAACAGAGATTCGAATGAATAAAGACACTAACACCATTGACTGCTACATTAGAGTTTGGATGAGTTCTATTTTAGCTGATGTACCTGCTGGTGATGGCCTCCAACCTAAGAGCGATGGCCTCCAACCTAAGAGCAATAGCGATGGCCTCCAACCTACTAGCGATAGAGTTTGGATATGTTTGGATAAATTCTATTTTGACTTTTAACTGATGCTCTACTCCCTTGGCCAGACCTCCTTCGAATGGATCTCTCAGCTCCGCTACTACTGGGAAGTCGATGACCGCCAGCAGGAGAATATGTGGGCTAGCACCTCAGACACAAGAGTATTATGTTACACAGGAAGGTTTGGCTTCCGAACAGAGAGAAAGACACATATGTGTATTCATTGCAGGTGAAGTGTGTTCAGACTTCCTTCCCATATGGCCTCAGCCCAAGTTTGACTGTTGAGTGATCATAGGGATCCTTTGAATAGTTGAGAATAGTTCAGCCGATCCTGAAGACTGTGAAAGTGGATACTCATGCCAAAGACTTTCTGCTGAGGATATGAGTACTTGGGCAATTCCATGCGCTTGGTGATCACGCCTCTGACAGACATGTGGATGCCTCTGACAGACATTGCGGCCTAAAAGATTGGTTCCTGTGCTGATGAAAGTCAATCATTTAGACTTCTCAGGTGCTACATCACTTTGATGGGCGCGCAATCACTTAGCCTTGGTGGTGCACCAGCCTTGCCTCTCAGTCGGTTTCGCTGAGATTGAAGAAGACCCTCAAGCGTCACATATGGGGGACAGTGTTTGGCAGTATGGTATCAGCGAAACGCTTTAAACTTTTTCACCCCTTGCTGAGGCTGGCCCGGCTGGCACCGGAAAGACTGAGACAACCAAAGACTTGGCAAAGGATGGGGGCAAAAGGGATGAGCTGTTAGAATTGAGGGCTTTTTGGTCGACATGCTGCCACTGGTGCTTCATGTTTTGGCCTCCAACGCTTGTCTGGGCGTGGGACTCTTGACAGGCCCTGGCTAAGCAGTGTGTGGTCTTCAACTGCTCACCAGAGATGGACTACATTATGGTCGGGAAGTTCTTTAAAGGCGTGGGGGTGGGCTGAATAGCTTTCAATAGTTTGAGCAGATGGACAATCTAATGAGCGGACATTGAAGTGACAAGTGCACTGGAGCTTTGAATGACTGTACAGTCTGTACAGACAGATTGACAGGTCTAGCCTTTTCTGGTGCCTGGTGCTGCTTCGATGAGTTCAACCGGATTAACATTGAAGCGAGGGACCCGATCATTGCAAAAGACTTGTGTGTAGTAAAGGAAGGAACGTGTTCATAAGTATCAAAGCAGGAGGGCACCATCCAAGTTGTTGATTTTTGCCGAGGTGCTGTCCGTCATTGCACAGCAGCTTATGGTACTCTTCGGAGCCTTTGCTGCAGTACGTGCTGTGAAGCAAACTTTTCTTTGAATTTATTTGGCTGTGTACTTGGATGTCTCATTCTGCTGCCATCTCGCAAAGGTCGCAAAGCAGAGCTTCTTGCCTAAATGACAGACAAATGGAGAACACTGAACGTTCAACCTTTTGTTGTTCTTTTTTGTGTGGGTGTGTATATATTTATACATACATATATTATTTTTATACACATGCACACAGCAAATATATAATGATGCCAAATACTCTACTGCTGTTGTACCTTTACATTTTTACAGTGGTACCCGATTCTGGCCTCAATTCTCAGTGGCTGGAAGTTCTCATCCTTGCGAGGCTTGGCAGCTACAACGAAACGGTCGAGCTTGAGTTTGAAGGAACGTTGATTGTCTGGGTCTCTGAAGTGGCACTAGCAAGTGAACAGGCAGTTCTGAATTTCAGATTGCGGTGTCCCGAGTGCAACCTGGCAGTTGCTTCTGCATCAGTTCCAAGATGAGCCGACTTCAAAAAAAATAGAAGATCCAAGACTCCAAGACAATCTATCATATAAGGATCGGCAACTGTGGAGTGTAGCACCGGCCGTTGCGTTGCCGTTGTCAGGTCATGAAGCCGACCTTCAACGTCTTCATCACCATGAATCCAGGCCCGGTGGAACGTCTCCAAAGCGCAGCGCCGCGCGGTGGGTACGAGTCTGCGCTCAGCGGAGTGCAGAGCCGGAGTTCCGAGGCTACGCCGGTCGTGCAGAGCTTCCAGATAACTTGGCCGCCCTTTTCAGACCAGTGGCCGATGCCTCAGACTGGAAAAACAGGAACCAGGTGACGGTTTTGAACCTGTAAGAAACCATATTCAAGTCTGTTCAATGCTATTCTTTCTAAACTCCAAACATGATATTCCCAAAATTGATATTTGGATGCTGGCAGCCGATTGAACAGTGGGCGGAACCACTGTAATCCTGGTGGCGATGAGGCAATGATGGTCCCTGATTATGCTTTGATCGGCGAGATCATGTCGCTACCTGAAAGACCGTTCAACCAGCTCTCTTTCTGCTCTCGGCCAGCTTTCTTTACGATCCTCTCAGGTTCTATGCCTATGGCTTCACGGAAGCGAAGGTGCTGGCCAAGAAGATGGTAGGGATTCCAAGCGAGCGGACTGAGAAGAAGGGCAACCCACGTGCGGAGAGGACCAGGTCGACCGTTCTAAAGTGAGTGGGTGGATTGCCGGCTCATGGCCTTTTTGTTTCACTCCAGCGAAGGTAGAAACTTCGCTCATGGCCGGCCATGACAAACCACGGATTTCATGGCAACTCTGCAGAGTTTGGATTCACAGGTTACGACCTTTACTTTGTCGTCTGAGCAGCTTTCCTCGCAGTCCGCAGCTGAGAAGTTCATTCCTTGTTTTGCTGAATGCCTCACGCAATGGGTTTGCTCCTCGGCGTTCCTCCAGCAGACCCTGTAGGGATTTGATGCAGCTTTTAAGCCTTCAACCCGCAAAGAACAGCTGGCGTCAATTGACCGTGGCCCACTCGTATTTTTGGACGTCAGGTTCCATTATGACTACGGCATGCGAGCGGTCAAGAGTACGATTGAGATGTGCGGCAAGCTGAAGCGGGAGGCCCGATAGCTTGGATAGATTTGGATAGTCTCTTTAGCGATGGCCTCCAACCTAAGAGCGATGGCCAAGCTTCTTTTGCTAATGCTTTGCTTTCCAAAACTACATCTCCAGGTTGGTGACTTGCCAGAAGACCAGATCACCCTTCGCGCCTTGAGAGATGTGAACGTGCCCAAGTTCCTCAAGGCGACCGTGTCCGAACGGCCGTTCAGCGGGGTGTGTGGTTGGGACAGGGGAGAAGAAGTTCAACAGGTCTAATGACCTTGAGACACCAACGCTAGCAAGACTCAAATCTGAATTCTAGTGATCATTTTGTAGGTAGAGTTACTGTAGATAGACCAAACTCTGCTAAAGAAGGCTTCAGCGCTCAAAATCATCGTGAACATTCACAAAGGACTGGACCCGGTTGGCTCGAGCGGTTTGATTTGCCTTGTCAGGACGACTTGCCCCTCTTCGAGCCATCAACTCAGAACTGCCATTCTGGGAGCATTTTGAAGAACACGATGCTACCTGAATGGTACGTGAGCTACATTTTTGTCATTGATTTAGACTGCAATGGAAGAGCCGAGGGACTTGACTGACGTACTTGCTTAGGAACATCATCTCTGACCTGTTTCCCGAAACGGATCGCCCTGTTGTCGAGTATGGCAACTTGACCCCGGTGATGGAAGCCTGTGGGAAGGCAATCAGGGCGATTTGTAATGAGTTTCCAGGTGACAAGTCGCATTGGATTCGTGCAGAAGTCAAAAGTCTTTATCCGGGACAGGAGCAGAACTTGCAGCTCACAGAGAACTTTACTATCAAGGCAGGCATGGTGCATGCAGAGTCCTGTGATCTCCAGACTCCAGAGTTTGGTTCCCAGAAATCGTTGGGATTCGATGGTGGATTCGATGGTACCTATTGGGGACACGCCAACCCTGGACTGCTTCTCGGCCTCCCAGCTTCGACGAAGCTCGGGGCGTCGCCACGGAGGTGGTGCAGCTGATCGACACCATCGGAGTGCGGCATGGATTGATGCTTGTCGGGCCCACGGGAGGCCTGGCAATAGATTGGTTTCATGTTGCCCAAACGGTGGCATCTTAGTTGTTGTTCTTGTTGCTGTTGGTTACGGTCGGTCGGCCATTGAGTTGCTGCTGTCTTTTGAAAAACACTTTCTTTGCGAATGAAGTGTCATTCACATCATGTTTTGATGAGTGGGCTTTGGCTCCTGATTTCTTGCATTGGGGCCAGGTGGTAAAACATGCAATTATCGCTTGCTACAAGCCACTTCCATTGCCATGTGTGAGGCTGGGCCTGTTAAGGGCACACTTAAAGGCTCTACTGTATATAAAGTTTGCTTTGAATGAACCTGGTCTGCCAGCGAATTTGCTATTGGAGCTACTTATGATGGTTTACACGCTCCTTTACAACATCACTGCCATTTTCTAGTCAGTTCGGAGTCATGTCATTCAGACATTTTTGTGAGGCTGGTGATACGAAGTATCAGAAAGTGCAGACACACATCCTGAATCCCAAGTCCATCACCCAGGCAGGTGCAAAGAGACGCGTTGATAACTGGTTCTAGTCACCAAGGTTTGCCTATCTTCGAAGTCAATCTGGATGTGAGTGCTATTTCCGATTTTGTTTCTGGCGGTTTACTTGGCCCATCTCAGATTGCGGCTTAGCTCTGTAGCTAGGCACAGCTGTATGGCGCCTTCGATGAAGTCACACGGGAATGGTCTGACGGCGTGGCGAGCGAGTGTGCTGGAGCCTCAGCAGTGGAGCGAGCCTGGAGAGTGAAGGCCAAGTTAAGGCCAGAACATAGCAGCAGCAAACATAGCAGCTCAGTCAAGTAAATTGAGGCGTTTTTTGTGGGGTAGAATCAAGGACATCGGTCAACCCCATCTCAGGTGCGCACAGCCGTGGCAAGCGGCAAGTCGGGATGCCCCGACAATCATTGGGCCCGGGAGCCTAGCAGCGCCCAGCACTTCAAAGACACTTTGCACTGCACTTCTTGTGCAGTCATTACGAACAGGCTCTTGGGAACCTGAGGTCATTTTCGATGGACCGGTGGATGCTCTTTGGATTGAGCCGAGTCCTCGAAACGTGTCATGCTTGCTCACAATACAAAGGCCTTCAAAACTGTAGTGAGAGAAGGGCATTCAGCAAATGCAATTTTGTCTTCGCAGTGGTTTTCCTTTTCACCACCGAATGTGGCCAGACGCAGGTCCATGAACACTGTGTTGGATGACAACAAGAAGCTTTGCCTCACCTCGGGTGAAATCATCTCCCTGACGCCACAGATGAGGCCCGCGAGCGATGTTGGTTGTTTTTGACATTATTGTTTCCCTTCAAATTCTCATGTCTTCCAACTTCCATTTGTTTGCTTCAGGATGGTTTTTGAAGTCGAGGACTTGTCAGTTGCCTCACCAGCCACTGTGAGCCGATGTGGCATGGTGGGCATCTCAGCCAAACTTGCTTTGCATGCTTAGATGGAAGCTTTCACAGAAAGGCTTGTGACACATGTGATTTCACCTCAGTACCTGCCAACTTGGAAGCGGAGGTCTACATGGAGCCTTCAGCTCTTGGCAACGAGCCCTTGGTTCAGCCTGTGTCCCGGATAGAGTTGAACTTGAGCAGCCCAGGCTGCCCAGCCTGGCACAGCTTGTGTCTCCACTTCAGGTCTTGGTGTGAGCGCCTGCCCTCGACGTTTAAGCCGGACCGCAGATTGAGTCTTCTGAAGTTGGAAGCGCTTCCTCTCATTACTAAGATAATCAATTCAATGAGATGTTGTTGATGATGGGGCTTCGGAAGTTCAGGATTTGCAAGTGCTTGTTGCCAATTACTTGTAAAGAATCGACATGGGGTTTGCCGGGATTGCGGTGTGACAAGCCCCTGGCATTGTGGCAGTTTGTCAAGGTGGGTCTGGGAAGGCACGCAACACATTTTCTTTTCTCCACACACACACACAAGGGACTGAGCACTGAGCTTGCAGGAGATGTGCGAAAAGCTGCAGGAGCTCATGTTGGCACGGACCTTGGAGAATTGGCACATCTCTCCAATCGCCATGAGCCAAAGCAACTGAAGTTGGCAGCATTTGGAGCATCCGCTAGTAACAAGAAGCTACTAGTAACAACAATTTGACAACTCCTTCTCATATTAGAAAGAGCGGGGACTTGGACCCTGCCCTTTTCTGAGGATTTCACCCTTCCCATGATCCGAACTGTGCGGAAGCAGTGCAAGGCGAACGAGGGCAACTCGTCACCCCCTTACAAACAAGAATGCTTAGAAGAATGCTCTCAACTAGCCAGAATGGATTTGAAGGAATTTTTCTAGGTCGGTTTTAGATGTCACTGCGTCCTACACAAAGCTTTTGTTTGGGTCAATCCTAAGTTCTGTCTGCTAGCAGAGATGATTCCAACAGACCTTGGCCAATGCACAGACTCAGTCTGAGTCACTAGCATTTTGTGGAGTCGGTGGGGTTGGGGTTGGGAGTCAGCTGTCCGTGCACAGGAGCCTTCAGTGACTGTGGACAACAACATTTGCCAGTCACACTTCAGGTGAAGCAAGCTGACATGCTGCCGGACGAAACCTCATAATTGAAGAAGGATAGACACAAGCTCTAATTCAATGTGCGTGGCCGATCATGGTGAGGGCCTTCTTTCACTGCAAAGAGAGATGGAGTTGGACCATTTATGACATCATAATCTCCAGAGAAAACCAGCGGATCGATCGAAATGCAGGCTCCTTGACTGCTACTTTGCCAACTACATCCCCACAGAGGCAAGAACTCCAAGTCCAGATGAGATCAGCAAGCTTCAGCAGCGGCCCCAGAGTGAGTGCCCTGGATGTAGTGTGCCATTTCACGTGTCAGTTTGCTTGCGCTTGATGCTCTGAATGCCTTTCTGTCCCAAGGGATACTTTGAAAGCAGGTTCAAACAGCCAAACATGTCCCGATGTTTCGGGCACTTTTCATTTGCTCCGCTGTCACCTAAAGAGCCACTCTGCTGGGCAGGTCCCACCTGATTCCGCTCTACTTCTTCACGCTGGTTTGGTCCGTGGGTGCTGGGCCAAGTAGAGGGCCATGCAGGGCCACGTGGTAAGGCCAGTGGGCCAATGGCATGGTGAGCTCTTCACTTTTGCCTGGTGATTCGGTTGTGTGATCCTTGCTTGGCAGCTCCTGGCCAAGTACGACTAAGATTTGTGTAGCAGGGCCTGTGAATCCACTTTGTGCTGGCAAAGTTCTCAGACACAATATGACTGCAAAATCCTCGGCTTAATCCTTGAAGGTGCTACCTGTGACAACAAAGGGCGACAGACTGTCAATGCATCTCGGCAAAGATGCGTATGGCTCCCACCGGAAATCAGTTGCATTTGAATGACATCCTTTCTGCCGGATTTTTCCGATCCGTCCCTTGTCACTCATTTTTGGTGGCCTGAGATGGTTTCAAGCTGCCTTTGTGTGAATGTGGACATGAGGTTCCTGGTGTGGGGTTGTCACCACACGCTTTGCTGAGGACAAACTGTGGGAAATGGTCAAGGAGAAGGGTGTTGAGGCTGCTCCACGTCGAGTGCGCGCGTACACAAAGACACATCATGTGCTTTGCTGACTTTGATGATCAGTAATTGAATTGTGGTGAAAGTATCACTTTGACCAGAGACCATACTTTCAATGTGGGCCTGCTACTGGAGTTCCACGAGAGACCTGTCTACAAGAAAGACATTGCAAGGTTGGTGGCAACCTGGACAGCAGCATGTTCTGGTGACTCCGTTGCACTTGATCACTGTGTTTTGATGCAGTTCCTCTTCTAAAGGCGTTAAGTCTCGACCTGACTTGTTCCATCTTGCCCCTTCCTAGCACAAACAAGACAGTACTTGGAAGGGCTCCAACTGGCATCCTGAAATTTGTAGACCTTGGAAACTCGGCTGGACTGGAATAGAACCGATGCCAGGTATGACTACATCTACGAGCTTGAGGTAGCGATGGAACCGGTTTCGCTGAACATGTGCCTGAGTCACTTGAGCACCATGACGAGCCGGAAGCCAGAGTCCCCTCTTGCTTTTACGCTGCCCATCTATAGTGATTTGGGCTCATTTGAGGGCGACCTCCACCTGAGGCTTCAGAAAAAAGAAGAATTGAATAGACATCATCATCCTTCGTCCGTTTTGCAGGGCGATCGAGAAGGCCAATGGACTCCTTGGTTGACCTTTGTGTGGAAGCCCAGATGCAAGCGCCAGGTGGTCTTAGCATGGGTAGCTGTGCAGGCTACTGGTACCAATCGAATTCTGCTGCGCCTGCTTTCATCAACCCAAACGGAGTGAAGGGTCTTGATGTCATGTCTCCGTGAGGAAGGATGCATGATCAAGATGACTTCAAGATGAGTCAAGTCCAGAGCTATTTGGATGTGCTGAGGCTCCGAAGTATAGCGTGCCTCCACGCTTCATCCTCAAAGCGCAGAAATATGATGATCTCTGCCTCATTTAAACACTGACGGAGCGATGACGAATGATTTATGTGTGCTCCAGCTGCTTGTAGGTTCCGAGTACCAGAACATCGTGGTGCAACAAGCTCAGAGTTTGGCACATTGATGTCAGCTCCTTGTGGCCATGGTTGGGTCGGTTAGGTTGGGTTCTTCTTTCACCGGATGCTGCTTGAAGGCCAACGGTGGACTCCATCCGTTTGACGCACACCTTTTCCACGCTGCTTCTCAAGGACTGCACTCAAACGATAGAAAAGGCACACTAGCACATACTAGCACTATCATCTGCAAAATTCGGATTCAAGTAATCATTGATCATGTCGGCCAGACGGAAGTGATTGAGGCCTTTCAGTGCCCATGCTGAGGACAAGCATGTTATTGTTGCCGGCCAAACAGGCACTGGAAAGTCTGTCTACTTGTCGTCAAAGCCTCAGGCTGTCGTTATGAATGATCATCATCTTGAGTCTTGAGTCTTGAGATTCTCAGGCTGTGGCTACAGAAGGATGCGCCAGAATCCATCCTGCCAATTTTCATCAACTTCTCAGCTTGAAGCTTGGGGTTTGGTTTTGCATGTTCGCGAAAGATGCTTCAATCCTTTGTTTAAACTTTAAGGCGCAGACGCACGTGAACCAGTTGCAGGCCCTGTGAAATGTTTTTGTACCATGACCAATGCAAGCCAGAATCACAAGGTCACAAGGCACTTGCAACATCCCAATCCTCATCGCTCATCCACAGGACCTGTTGGACTCCAAGTTCGAGAAACGGCGGCGCGGTGTTTATGGCCGGCGCCCCCAGGTGGTTTGATTGATGGCATAGGTATAAAAAAAAAATAAAAAGAGCATCAAAAAAAAGCAGGATCAACAATAAAAATGAAAAGCGAACCAAAAAAAATATTCCTTGATAGGCCTCTTCTGCTGCTCTCCTGGCCTTGTGGTCTGCGGGTCCTCTGGTAATAATGTCCCTTGGTCCTTTGGTCCCTTGGTCCTCTGGTCCACTGGTCCTTTGGTCCCCTGGTCCCTTGGTCCTTTAGTCCACTGGTCCCCTAGTCCTCCGGTCTCCTGGTCCTCTGGTCCTGTGGTCCGCTGGTCCCCTGGTATCCTAGTCCTTCTGTCTCCTGGTCCGCTGGTCTTTTGCTCTCCTACGGCGCTCGTCTGTCGATCTCCTGGTCCCCTGCTTGCGCAAATAGAGGCTTGATTGCTTTCTACTAGAGGCAGCTCCCTGGGAAGAAAGTAGGTACCCAACGATAAGGTTGCCGTCCAGTCATTGAGTAGCCCTACTCGAAAAATGGCTCACCAGTGGAAATAGCTACTAGGAGGGAGCTCCTGGGGAGGTACACTCTCCTCTACTACCCCAACCATCCTCAGTGGGCTAGAATATTCTTTTTTTGATTGCCTTTTTATTTTTTTAATTGATCCCCGTTGAATATTTTTTTTGATCCTATTTTTATTTTTATTTTGATCCCTTACCCTTGATTGATACCCCATCACAGGAGGCCGCGACAGCAGTTGAACAGAGTATGCTGAGTAGTGGGACCGTAGGAGAGCATAGGAGAGCGTAGGAGCCCTTCCGTGATGCAGATGGACTCGTCCACAATCATCACATCGTCGTCACGAGGCCCTCCCGCTGGCAAGAAGAACGTGATTTTTATTGATGACCTGAACATGCCCAAGAAGGACCGCATGGTGGACCAGCAGTTTTCATGCGCTTTTGATGCATGAAACTGAATTGACCATCAAGCAACATGTTGAATTGAACCTGACTGCTTGACATAGCGCAAGACACCCCTTGGCCTAATTTGTTGAAATCCGTTTTGTTTGTTTTTTCCGTAAGCTTTTCGCCCAGCACTTTGGAAGAACGGTGCCTTCCAGTTGTTGGCGCCCAATCAGTCGCAGGAGTATTATGGAGCACAGCCGCCCATCGAACTGATCCGTCAATGGATGGACTACAATGGCTGGTATAACCGCAAGGAGACCGCTGCGGGTCGAATCAGCCTCTCACCTCCTTTGGGCTCCAGACCCTGCCGAATTTGCAGGAGTTGAAGGTGCAGGAGATTATTGCCAGGATCCCAGAATTGCCTCAGAATTTTTCGAAACGGCTCGACATTTTCCGAAAGCAAAAAAGCTGCCCACTGAGGACATTGTTCATGTCTCCGCCATGGGACCCCCTGGAGGCGGACGCACCGAGATTTCAGGACGCTTGAAGAGGCACGCCGCACCGCCGCCGCCGCGAAGAGGGCGGAGAGAAGGGTGGCAGAAGTGAATGAAGCTGTTTTCTGAATTCGCCCGTAGAGTTGGAACCCAACATGGAAGCTTCATGGAAGCTTCTTCTGTCCAGGCATTACAATGCTGTCGTGGCAGCAGACATGTCTCGTGACTCCATTTTCGGCATCTTCTCAACGATTCTGGACTACTTCCTGCAACAAGGTTTCGATAAATCCATTTGCGATCTGAAGGACCCTGGCCTTGTGGGCCAGTTGTGACTCCTTCGCAGTACATGCTGGGTATTTTCATTCTGTGCGAATGTCCTCTAAAAAATAGGACAACCCGGGTTGTCTTAAAGAATGAAATCAGTAAGAGAAACAGGGTGCAATGGACCACCAGGAACCTGGGGGTTGGAATTCTTTACAGGTGGGTAGGTGGACCCTGATTCTTTAGAGAAAAGCTTTTGAGCAATTGTGAGTGTATGATTCTGGATCTGCAACATCTGTGTTGAAAATGACAGAAATGGCTCAACACAGAGAAGCAGAGGCCATTCAGGGCCATTCCATGTATATGCAAATATGATTTTGACTCAGATAAAACAATTTGGAACGTAGATGAACTGAAGGAGCGTGTTTGAAGACACATCAAACATATCCCTGTGCGAATTTCCTCTAAAAAATCAGACAATCCGGGTTGTCATAAAAAACAAAAACGGATGAAGATATACAGTGCCAGTCTACAACTGGAACCTGGGGGTTCCCATTCTCTATAACGCCAAGAGGGGGTTGATTTATTAGAGACTTTGGTTGTCGAGCGTTAGCTCGAGAATGGGGTGGATTTTTAGAGAAAAGAGTCTTTGCAAAGCCAGATTTGCAAATCCTAGCATGGGCTCAACACACAGATGCAGAGACCATACCAGGATCATCCATAAGCAAGCATCAAGAAGAACATGCATGAGTCGACTTTGTTCCACTCGAACTCGGACTGTCAATTCTTTAGGCCTTTTGAGCTTTTCCTTCAAGTCTCCAATGTTTTGGCAGATGCAATCTGGCTTTTGATTCTTTAGAGAATGTTCTTGATTTTTTAGTGCCACTTCTGGATACTGAACCTGGGGGTTCCTAAAGAATTGACAGTCCGGGTGTGAGTGCGAATTGGAAGGGTGATTCAAAAATGGCCATTTTGACTCGAACCCGGGTGCACTGATTCTTTAGATTTTTGATATTTTTGAAGGTCAGTGTCTATTCTTTAAAGAAACACGTTTTCCATTGATTCTTTAGGCTTTGTGGCTCCAGCGTTTTTGATTTTTTAGTTACCTCTCTCTATTCTGGACCCTCAAGCCTGGGTTCCTAAAAAATAGGACAGCCTGGGTTCGAGAGCGAATTGGAAGGAGGATTGTGACCAATTGTTTTGGGGCCAGGTTCGTCAGGTGAGTGAGTGATTTTGAATTTGACAAGCTTGAGCCTGCTGAGAGACGGTCTCTCGAAATTATGCACAGGACAACATTGTGAACTGCTCGATCGACACCTTTGAAGCTGCTGGAACCGATCTGTTGCCCACTCCATCAAAGAGCCATTACACTTTCAATCTGAGAGATATTTGGAAGGTATTCCAAGGAATCTGTTCGCTGAAGTCCAAGAGGGTCTCGGATCCTTTGGTTGTTACGCGATGCTTTTGTCATGAGAACATTCGAGTCTATGGCGACCGATTGACCACGGACGAAGATCGCTCCTGGCTGCGAGGGAAGCTGGACCATCAGCTGAGCACGTCCTTTGGTGTTGACCCTGTCTTGGTCTTTGACAAGGAGCGGATGGTCTTCGCAGACTTCATGAGCCAATCTGGAGAACGTGTGTATTTGGAGGTGGATAGCATGGGGGCTATGAAGACGGTGATGGAAGGCGTCGTCTTAGAAACATATTAGTTTGAACCCTCAAATTGTCTAAGTCTAACACACACACACACTGCCATGTAAGCATCATGAATCATGATGCAAATTCCGGATAGATGTGTTCAGACCGCTAACGAACCGGGCTGCACGGCTAAGCCCAAGCATGCTTGCATGTTCAAACCTGTAGGCTTTCTGGATGACTACAACAACATGTTCTCTGTGCCAATGCCCCTGGTGATGTTCGCGGATGCCTGTGAGCATGTCGCTCGTGTCTGTCGGGTCTTGCGGCAGCCCAGCGGCAATGCCTTGCTCTTGGGTGTGGGTGGATCCGGTCGGCAGTCTCTTTCACGCCTGGCCAGCTTCATGTCTGAATATGATATCTTCCAAATTGACGTTGTGAAGGGATATGGCATGACGGAGTTCAAGGATGACTTGAAGACATGCCTCATGAAGTGTGGCAACGAGCAGAAGCCGACCACCTTCCTCTTTGCGGACACGCAGATTGTGAACGAGCAAATGGTAGAGGCCATCAACAATGTCTTGAACTCGGGTGATGTTCCCAACCTCTACAAAACCGAGGACCCCAGCCTCACTTGATGGTATCGCTGAAGTCAGAGTTCCGAGATGACTTAACGATACTTAACGTTTGTAAAGAAACACGTGCAATTCATTTCCCAGGACATGGACTCCATTATGCAAGCTTGTCGAGCTGCCTGCCAGCAGGCCGTTGCAGGGATTGCACTGTACTGCAAAGTAAAGAAACAGATTGTGTGGCCTGGACGAGTGGCTCTTCGTTTTTTGTGTGTATGCGCTGCTTGAAAGGCTGGCATTCCACCGACCAAAGCCAACGTCTTCAGCACATACTTGTCTAGAGTCAAGGTGCAACATGGCTTTTGGAATGTTTGCAGTCCAATTGTCCGTTTGAAAGCACACAACATGCTGTGCCGGTGTTTGATTGCCAGGCAAATGTACACGTCGTTTTGGCTTTCTCTCCCGTCGGTGATGCCTTCCGCACACGTGACACTCCCAGTTTTTGGTCGCCGCATAGATAGAAGACAGAAGGAGCATGCGCGGTAATTTCCTGGAATCAAAAGATCCTCGCTTTAGTGGCATCGATTTTCCACTGCTTGTGACTAAAGGCCTTCGCATGTTCCCTTCGCTGGTGAACTGCTGCACGATCGACTGGTTTGCCGAATGGCCAGCAGAGGCTATGAGCTCCTTTAACTTCCGCTGTAGGATGCTTGCTGCAAATTCGTAGTCCATAGGAAAAAAAGGACTAGATAGACATCAAGCAGTGAGCTTTTGTATGCTTTTGTAGATTCATGCAAATGAATGTTTTTGCTTTCTTCACTGTTGCAGGCTCTTTACAGTGTCGGCAAGCAGCAGATGACTCTTGAGGACTGACATACATGTATGAATGTCTCAATGCAAACAGTTCCCAATGAGGTTTTGCTGGATTTGACAGATTGTGGTAGACTGGTAGACGGAATGAATGATGGCTTGGGGTAGGACTTGAAGCTTCCAAACCTGGAAGGCGAGGTTGATGTGACAGTTTTGCAAGTCTGATGTGTAGAGCTTTTCCAACATTCTATTCAAGCTCCCATGCCGAGGCATGCTGAAGGTCTTCTCTGTGGTTCATCAGTCCGTTGAGAAAGCTGCAAAGAGGACCATGGAGACTGTGAGGCGCTTGACCAAAGCACTGGGCAGTCATTCAAAACCAATTGGTCCATGAAAGCCAGGTGCCTGTGGTGCACAGATTCTTGTTCCCCCTCACTCCCTCTACAGGCGGGCCATTTACATCACGCCCACCTCATATTTGGAGCTGATCTCCTCCTTCAAGAAGGCTGGCAACTGGGCTTGATGAATCAGAAGTGAAGTGTTGGATAGCACAAGTGTTTGAAAGGCAGAACATAATCACTGACATACATAGGCCAAAGTAAGATCACGTACCTTGTGACTCTGACAATCTTGCATACAAAAGCGCTGTGGAAAAGACATGTAAAGTTCAACCACAGAGCTTGGTTTTCTGCAAATGAGTTTCAATTGTGCACGGTTGTTGAGTTTGTTCAGCGACCTGCAGGTTCTGGCACTGCGACGAGACAGGGCCTCAGTTCAGGGTGGCAGCAGTTTTTTAATGTGTGCGCTGGTGCAAAGAGAGCCTTGCAGGATGCGGTGGGCACCCTCAAAAATCGGCTGCAGAAGGGATTGGATGCTCTTGGAGCAGCAGCCTATGCCGTGGCCAACATGCAAAGTGAGCTGGAGCCTAATTCTTGACGGAGGCTTTTGAGAGATCAAACAGCTGCATTGCCTTTCTTCAATAAAGCTTTGAGCAGCCCTATCTTGACTGTCAACAACACTTTGTAGCATTTTGTAGCAACATTAAAGTTATATATATATACATAATATATATATATATTGTTTATATGTTTGTGGGAGAACAGTGAGGTTGGAAGCCAAGCAACCTGTGCTGGAAGAGACCAAAGTGAAGGTGCGCAATACTGTAATCCACGCTTACGTTCGACTCAGACTCTTGGGTTGCGTTACATAGGTTGCCAACATGATGGTGGTCATCACAGAGGACAAGGCCAAGGCATCCCACTCAGGAGCTTCATCTTCAATTGGAAACTCAACACTACAGTGTTACAGAAACGTACCCGGGCAGGATAAATGGGTTTTGTTGGGAGTTTCATTTCAATCCACTTGGAACTATTTGATGGATATGTATATAATATATATTATATCAGGCGTTGCTCTCTATCTCTGTTGGCACAATCCGTATAGGTTCTGAACTATGTTGTCCTTGATGTTGTGGAACATGGATTTGGATATTTCTATGTTGTCCTTGATGTTGTGGAAAGTGGTATTGGAAATGTCTCTGTTGTAACCAATGCTGTGAAAAATGGGTGTGGAATATCTATGTTGTAGCCAATGTTGTGGAAAAAGGTTTTGGAAAGTTCAATGTTGTGGAAAGATGTTGTTGAGAAGGGACTTTTGTAGCTGGTGGCCCATGTTCCTGGCTGAGGCTGGGGATGAGGATGTTGACAGGTTGAGGTTAACCAGGTTAACCGGTTAAAGTTAAAGTTAAAGTCCATAGTTCGTGTCAACTCTTAAAACTTAAAGTATGTGTGTGCAACAATATGTAATCATGTGTGTAGTGTGGTGTGTGTAACATGTCAATGTCACATGCCACACTGCAGCATGCACCGCTGCAAGCATTGTTTTCACCTCACCGGAACCCCGTCGGTGCTCCAACTCCAAGAGATGTTCAAGCTTTGCTTGATCATGAATCATGGCAGCTACTGCCTTCTGTCTACTCATCACCGCTGTCGCTTTTCTTGCGTTTCTTGTCCTTTTTCTCCTTTTTCTCCTTTTTATCTTTCTTCTCGACTTTCTCACGTTTCTTCTTTGGTTCCTTGGCGGCATCACCATCCTTCGCTGGTGGTTTCTTCCGCTTGGGAGCCTCACCCTCCTTGCCAGTGCCCTCAGTCTTCAAAAGGTCACCCACCAGCTTCTGCATTTTTTGTGGCAGCTTGTCTCTGGTGAGGCCGTAGGACTTGTTGGCCACGTCCATAGTAGCCTTGGCGTCCTCAGGTGTTGCGCCATCTTTCACGAGCAAACCCGCAACAAAAATGAGCCCGGCAATCCTCATGGCCTCCTTTGTGAGCGTGAGCGCAGCCTTGTAGGTTCCTTTGGCCTCACCAATGACATCCCTCAACTTGGTAGACCCTGAGTGAAGGCAGAAGCTGGCAAGGGCTGTCATGAGTGGTGCGCAATTTTGCTGGGCCGCCAGCAATTGCTCCAAGGAATCACCAGTGGCTGAGCTGTCTGACTTGAAATGCGCTTCATGTGGAGTCAGGTTCCAAGTTTCACATGCAGCCCCAACTGCTTGGTACTTATCCTTGAAGCTTTCGAACATGGCCAAGTGTGTTTGATGGAACGACTCCAAGCCTTTCCTCACAGCGGCCAAGAACCCTTCAGTGAAGAGCGTGAAGATCTCCAAGGGTTTGCTGAACCTGGGTTTGGCTTCCATGGAGTTCTCACTTGGTTATCCCGGTTCATATTTACTCTCGACTCAATCACATCACATCATCTATTCATTCTATCAGTCTATCATCTTTCAATAATCTATCGTGAATCGTCTTTCAATATTTTGTAATAATACGATAGTAATAATATGATAATATGATATGATTGATATGATATATGATGTGATATATGATATGAATCGTGGTATGAAAAACTAACACTAAAATGAAATGCCAATTCAATTGGAATCAGAAATTGAGACCCGGAAACAGTGACAACTTGCTGACTTGACTTGGTGAAAAAGAGAACAGGCAAAGACAAAACACATGAAAGAACCGTACTGATTCTGACACTCCATTAAAAACGGCCGGGAAACATCTCATGTCCTTGAACAAGTGAACTTGCGGACAGAATGGACTCACAAGTTCCCACCATCTTGAGAACTGTCTCGAAGTCTGCTTGGTCACCGTTCAAGTACTTTGTTTTCTCCTCGATGCCCTGAACCAACTGAAGCGAGGATGCAACCTTTTGCATCTTGTCTGTGAGAAAGTCCTTGTAGGAGAAGGAGCTCTCAGGATTGGCAACAATGAGGCTCAGGCCTTTCCCATCGCATGCCCACAGCGCGCACAGGCTCCAATCCCATAGCTGCTTCCTGGCCTTTGTAAGGCCTGTCAAAGTTCGAGCAACTTCGTCTGAGACTTCACAATCTCCGCAAAAGCCCTGAACCTGCTTGGCCAAGCTTGCCCATGAAACCAGTGCTGCAGCAACATCGGAATCGGAACCGTTTGGTGAAGGGACTTCGAAGGCACTGATGGCCAAACAGGCGTCTGAGATTGCCTTCAAGCTCACATGTACCGCAAGCTTGGCCGATGGAATCCTCTCCAAAGCAAACTGCATCTCGCCTCAGATCAAGTCGGGCTTGAAATTTGAAACAAAGCCGCAGCCAGAAAATGCTAGCAACAAATGTCACCTGTCCTGTCCTATATTACAATATAGTTTACAGTTTACATAATTATATCATAATGACTCAGAGTAATTTGTAGTTTAATTTTAGAATCATGAATCACGCATCATTAATTAATCAGTACAGTAATCAGGTGATCCAGAGTCGAAAAGAAATGTTTCCCTAGCCACAATCCACAAATGAGAAATCATTGATTGATTGACAACTGTCAAGTGTCACTGCAGCTGGAAAACGCTGTCGAAGGAATTTGGCACCTTGATGGGACTCGGCGGGAATGCATCCGCATGCGCTTCGAGACCTGCACTCTCTTCAACGGCATTGGTGGAGTTGCAGACTGCATCTGCCAACACCTCGCCGAACTTCTCAAAGTCTGGCTGGAAGGACTCAAACCACTTGGTCACTGAATCCAAGCCCTCCTTGAACTTGGCACCATTTTCAGGGGCATCCTCGAAAATGAGCGCCTCCTCGGAGAATGGTACGAGCATTTTGCAAAGCTTGGAGATGTCCTGTTGCTGCTCATCTGTGTAGGTCGAATCATCTGTCAGAGGCTCCAAGGCACAAACCTCCTTGCTGGCAGCAAGGAAAGCCTCCAGTTCGACCTGCGGAATCTTGCGCTCCGAGAACTTTTTGACTTCTCCAAGCACAGACGTCCACAGCATCCTGACATTTGTACACATTTGTAGAGATGGAGTTGGGAGTAGTGCAACCATAAGGTAGGGTCAGGTCCGTCCAAATCACGCGCTGTTTGTGTGGACAAAACCAGCGTTGATACAGTCACAGTCACAGTACTAGTAACTAAGAGTCTATCAGTCTATCAGTATATCTATTGGTCAGAAAGTGGTCCACAGCGTACAGTCACGACTGAGTGACTGAGTGCGTAAAAAATGACATGAATCAAAGGTCAATGTCTGAATGACTGAATTTCTGAATGATTCATGTTTCATCGCATTGAAATTGACAAATGACTCAAATGACTGGTTTTGCTTGACTGGCCTCCAATCCTGTTGGGCACCCATCGCAAGCAACAAGCGGTTGCTAAATTGAGCCTTGCTCACCATGGACATGTACCTTGCACCCACACTCCAAACGCTGTCTTGTGACTGCCTGACTTGTAGGCAAGCAATGATCCGTTGAAGATCGACCATGCATTGACAGCTGAAACCGGTCTTGTTCTTGTAGCCGCTCAACTGGTCCATATCCATCTCCTCACCCAGCTTGATGTCTGCAGCCGTTGGCAACCTGAAGCACGAACACGGAACGGAGGGACACCATGGTAGAATATGTAGTAACCAGTGACCGCTCTATCAGTACAGTATCAGTACAGTACCAGTACCAGTGTACCAGTATCAATGGTTATCAATGGTTGAGTCAACAAAATACAACAACAATATAATATCAATATCTAAGTCTAAATCCAATATTGTCAAGTCAATATCCAATAAATCATTATCATCTAACTAATTATCTAATAGTCAATCCAATAGTCAACGTCAATATTATGTCTAGTCCGTCCACTCTATGACTCTATAATCAGAGTATATGATGCTTGGTTACTGTTTCAGATTGTGTATCAAGTGCAAAAAAGATAACTACCAATAAATGAACGACCGACCAAACGAACAAATTGACATTGAAATGAAATTCATGAATCAAACGTCTCATCACAAAAAGGACCGAACGCAGAATACAGGATTTTGCAGTCCATGAGCAACGTCTGAGTCTGAACCACGACACACTGTGCCAAGTCACAACATATCAACAGGTGCCGGTTCAACGGTAGTTCATACCAAGTTTTATCATTTAGGTAATTTATGTTATGTATTCTGTATTCTGTATTGTATTTTCTTTAAAAGTCTCAGTCTCAGTCTTTATTGGATGTATCGTATCGACCGTATCGACATCAATCATTGACAACATTGACGGTAGTAATTAGTAATTATAATGAATCAATGAACCATCGGAGGCAACATCATTGGCAAGAAACCATTGCTTGTCATCCAGGCTGGCCGCTTGCAAGAAAGGAGGAATCAGCCTCTCAGCAAAGTCCACTCCATTCCCCAAACGAAGCTTCTCACCGAAGTCCGCAACACAAGCCGATTGAACCTTGAGGAGTAGAGGCCAAGCCTGCCTGTAGTCTTGCGTATCCTGCTTGCTCTTTTGGTTGAAGTGGTCAAGCAGGTGGCCAAGACTCAATGCCATCTCATCATCCTTCTTTAAGGAGAGGAACCTGAAGAACACGAATTCCTTCCCTTGGCCTTGCTTCGCCTTAGCCCGGCGATCGAAACTGCTACTGTGGACCGCTGTTCGAAAAGCTGACTGGCTGACGCCAACCAGACGGCGCACTGCCAAACTCACAAGTCACTCAAACATCAAACATTATTCAAGCATCGTCTATCGATTGTTTTTGGTTTTGAATTTGAGTGGTGGTGGAGGGTCACTGTTCTCAGCAATGGGGGGCTGCCCCCCCAAGTCCCGCGCCTCAGGTTGGAAACTGTGAACTGATAACCAAGTTACAAATCAGAGTCCGGACCCCGCCGGACCCTCCCCCCGAAATCCCAAAAGGGCAAAACGGCAAAACCAAGTCACATCCATCAGCTTCC